ACAGACAATCGGAGAAATAGAACTTGTTATGGTGACTGTGATAATTCTAGTGATTTGATCCAAACTTTTATGTATCATCCTTTTTTTTTTAAACTCTCGTTTCTTTGTTACCATGATCTACGATTGTCACGTCACCCGCATTCGAAAAATTATAGCTTTTAGATTTCACTCTGCAGAGCAAATGAAAGCTTCTTATCTTTTCAAATCATTTTAATGTAAATACAACAATACATTTGCGCCCACCACACGGTGTGTTCTTCATTTTGTTTACTTATAATTATAAATATATAACAATTGGGAGAGAAAATTAGGATATATTTCGAAAACAATACATAAGATTATATTATTTGGTGTCACAAATACACTTATTTGAATATTTTGATATTCCTTCTGTTAACTGCTATGACGTTTGAGTGAAAGAAGTTAAAAAGTTTCGTCTGACGACTTCACGAGACGTATGTCAGATAATAATGTCCATCTTGTACTAAGACCTCAGAAAAGTGACCTTTTACATAAATTAAATAATAAAAGGTCATGCCCTTCTATGTCTAAATGAGTTTATCAAATATTCAGCTAGAAAAGATATGTATTAAACATTGGAAAACTATTAGGGATTATTGTAGATGGGTAGCTCGGTATAGAGTTTTCAAACACTTTGCAATAATTTTGAATATCATTAAAATTATATGTTATAATTATCTTTAAGTCCGCTCTTTTCGAGAGTCAACTCTGAGATGCGAAACTCCATTCTATAAATTAAACATTTGTGGGGTTTGTCGCTGTGCAATAAACTATAAAACACTGTAAATTATACCACAAACTCCATAGATGAATCAAGTTATGATAACTGAATCAAAGATATAACATTAACCTTTTCAAAACAATTCACATACAGTAGTCACAGTGAGTAGTTTAAGAATTGCATGTGTCACAGTGGGTAGTTTAGCAGTTGCATGTGTCACGGTGAGTAGTTTAAGAATTGAATGTGTCACAGTGGGTAGTTTAAGAATTGCATGTGTCACGGTGAGTAGTTTAAGAATTGCATGTGTCACAGTGGGTAGTTTAGCAGTTGCATGTGTCACGGTGAGTAGTTTAAGAATTGAATGTGTCACAGTGGGTAGTTTAAGAAATGCATGGTCACGGCGAGTAGTTTAAGAATTGCATGTGTCACGGTGAGTAGTTTAAGAATTGCATGTGTCACAGTGGGTAGTTTAGGAGTTGCATGTGTCACGGTGAGTAGTTTAAGAATTGAATGTGTCACAGTGGGTAGTTTAAGAAATGCATGGTCACGGCGAGTAGTTTAAGAATTGCATGTGTCACGGTGAGTAGTTTAAGAATTGCATGTGTCACAGTGGGTAGTTTAGGAGTTGCATGTGTCACGGTGAGTAGTTTAAGAATTGAATGTGTCACAGTGGGTAGTTTAAGAAATGCATGGTCACGGCGAGTAGTTTAAGAATTGCATGTGTCACGGTGAGTAGTTTAAGAATTGCATGTGTCACAGTGGGTAGTTTAGGAGTTGCATGTGTCACGGTGAGTAGTTTAAGAATTGAATGTGTCACAGTGGGTAGTTT